TGAACAACAGTTTTGTTGTTGTTCATCTGATCCATTTTTGTGCTACTTGGGACACTGCCAGAGCTCTCCATTGTCCTCAGAACATTTTGCATTTTGGATAGTCAATTGCATCACTTTGATGTATCAGGTGAGCTGTGATTATGTCAGCAAAGACTTTTTGAGGTATTCTTCTATGCCTAGTTGCTACATGTTCTTCTCTGGTAGGACAATGTTTGAGTCTGCTATATGTGTGTGAGTCATAAAGATGATGGAGAATGAGGTGGTCACTTATCTGTAACTGTGGTTCTTCAAGGGGTGATCTGTATACTCCATCTTGCACCCTCCTCCCTTCTTGGTACAGTATCCTGTTTCCTCCAAATTATCAATCTATCAGTGTACAGGAACTGAATGGCTTTGAGCTCAGGCAGAACTGATTGAGAGTGGGGTGGGTTTCAGCCCCAATATATTCAACTCTAGAGGATTCTAGGTGTGGCTCTGAACAGGTGCAAGACCCATATGTGTAAGTTCTTAGGTGACCATTTGATGAACCACAGGGAAGCGTCATTTAGCTCTGTGTTCCTAAGATATACAGGGAAAAAATTGCGGCGTTGGGGGGAACAATTGGACGTTCACTGTTTTCTTGCTGATGCCAAATTTTGCCAGTAGCATGCATGCACTGGCTGTTGGCTGCGTCAGCTTTGGGAGTCTTGGAAGGAAGGTGGCAGCTTATGACCAGCTTCCCTTCAGCTTAAGGCTTATGGTGGGAGGAAGTTGCTCAGAGGACATGTACCTTTGGCATACATTCAACAGATCCATCTTTCCCCCCTTCAATATTTTGAGTCTGAACTGGGAGAGTGACTATTCTTTCACTGGTTACAGGGCTGTGTTTGTGATGATTTTACAGTGGACCCTCAACTTACAGACACCTCCACTTACAGACTTTTCAAGTTGCAGACTTCTCTGGCTGCAAAATTTAGGTTCGACTTGCAGCCGGATAATCGACCTACAGACTGGAAAGAAAAACCAAAATGGAACAAAAACGGCCAGTTACGGATTAATTGGTTTTCAATGCATTGCGGGTCAATGGAGCCTCGACCTACAGACTTTTTGACCTGTATCCACCATTCCAATATGGATTAATTCCATAAGTCGAGGGTCCACTGTACCTCAGAAAATAAATACCCCAGGTACATATCTCCCAAACCCATCTTCACTCCCTCTTTAGGAGCCCCAGCATCGTACTGCCTTTTAATCAAGATATTTTGTCACTCCAAATGAAGGAGTTGTAGTAACTGAGCCCAGAGTCCAACTGAAATGCGATATCCCAATATGAGCAAGGAATCCATGTGCAAATTTGGCTTTTGTATGTCTATAACGTCCCATAACACTTGGACAGGCATGTGATTTAACTTAATTTCTGATCCAAAATGTATTGTGAATGAATGAATAACATATTTGTCTCTTACACAAGGGCAGTTACAGGAAAAACATCAATTTTAATAATAAATGCTATGTTTCCCGGAAAATAAGACAGGGTCTTATATTAATTTTTGCTCCTAAAACGCAGTAGGGCTTATTTTCAGGGGATGTATTTTTTCCCCATGTACAACTATCTACATTTATTCAAATACAGTCATGTTATCTTCTGGTTGCTGCACAATGTTGCACAATGGTGGAGGGCGGGGTTTCACTTAACTGTGGCTTATTTTGGGGCTAGGGCTTATATTACGAGCATCCTCAAAAATCATACTAGGGCTTATTTTCAGGTTAAGTCTTATTTTTGGGGAAACAGGTACCAATGATAACTAAACAAATCATAACTCTGCACTTGTGAAAAGACCTGTAACAAATAATTTCCTTTACAGTATATTGTGGATGTCTTTAATGGGCTGCTTATGCAAAGCTAGTGACTCTTACTTGTAATTGACATATTATAACCAGCTTACAAGCGACAAATAAAATAGACAAAAGGCCGACCAGTTCTTATTTTTAAAAGATCCCTCAGAAAGTGAACCCTAGCATCTCTGTATAAAGGGCAATGTACAAGACAATGTAGTACATCTTTTGCTTCCCCTGTGATATAAGTATACATGTGTAGTGCAAAAAGAATCCAACATAATTATCAATGGCCTAAACTCAACATGATGCTAACTGTAGCAGTGGGATTTCTGCTCTCCCTGTCTCTCGATGGGTGATTAAGAAGTTGCAATATAGAGGAAGGATCTTATATATCAGGGGTCTCAAACTCAATTTACCTGGGGGCCGCTGGAGTCAGAGTCTGGGTGAGGCTGGGCCACATCAGATTTTCTGCCAAGCAGAGCAAGAGCCCGAGGAAGCCACCCAGGAGTTTCCTTAGCCCAGCTGGGGCTCTGAAGAGGAGGAGGAGGAGGAAGAGGGGCATGTGAGCCCTTGTCGCCGGCCACGACCCCCTCCGGCAGAGAAGGGAGGGACTGCCTAGCCAGGGGGAGGGGAGGAGGGACCACCTAGCCGGGGCTCCTTCTTCACTACCACCACCACCAGCAGGTCAAAGAAGCAGAGAAGGGAGGGACTGCCTAGCTGGGGGGAGGGGAGGAGGATGGCACCACATATTTTTTTTTAAAAAAAGCTGACAAAATCGCCTTGCCAAAGGAGAAAAGCCCCCACCGGTACCGTGAAAGTAAACAGAATGGGACGGGGGCCCCCACAGGTGCGTGCACATGCACGCACACAAACATATACACACAGATCCTTGCCAAAGGAGAAAAGCCCCCACCGGTCCCCGCAAAAATAAACAGAACGGGGCGGGGGCCGCCACAAGTGCGTGCACAAACATACATGCACAGATGCCCAGCAACCTTCCTCTGAGCGCCCCCCCTCAAAAAAAGGCACACTCAGCAGCAGCTACCCCCACCACGACAGAGGAGCAAACTTTGTGAGGCGAGCCCAGGCAGCCTCCAGAGCCGAGGCAGCAGAAGCAGGAGGAAGAGGAGGAATAAGAGGAGGAAGCACCACCAGGACGATGAAGAGGAGGAGGAAGCACCGCCGGGAGCTGAGGCGGTCACAGGCCGGGCTGGTGCTGGGGGTGCTGAGAGAGAAAGAGAGCCAGAGAGCCACTTCCCTGAAAGAGGTGGTGCCGATGGCTGCTGTTGGCGGCGCTGTTGGAGGCGCTCTTTGAGGACAGGCTAGGAGTGAGCTCCGCTCTCAGGCATCACTCAGCGGCAGTTCAGGCGCTCAGGGTAAAGGGCTAGCAGCATGACTCGCTCTCCGGCTCTCCCCCAAGACAGCGCCTCTTGAACCCTCCATCTGGAACTGCAGCTTGCCAGCTGGCAGACAGGCGGGCTGGCTGGCAGGCTGCACTTCCGGATGGAAGGTGCAAGAGGCACTGTCTTGGGAGAGAGCTGGCGAGCGAGGCAAGGCTTGTTTTGACTCTTGACAGCAGAGGACGTGTGGGCACTTTGGGGGGGGGGACAGGCAAGGCAGGGGCCACAAACTGTCATCTGGCAGGCCGCAAATGGCCCCCAGGCTGCATGTTTGAGACCTCTGTTATATATAGTGTTCATCTTTGCTGAACTGTGGATTTAGACTTGTTTGCACATCAGTATAATTTTTTAAAACAATTTAAAAGTTATATCTGTCAACATAGCCATTAAAGATTTGGCCTATATGAAGCACTAGAGAAATGAAGGTTAATGTTCTCCCAGCAGACGCTGAGATACGTAGGGCCGTTCTTGATCATTGCAGATCCAACTGTTTTGTTCTGAAAGTGGAATACAGGAATGCAACGCATTGAAATAAGATTATTCTTCAACCATACATACATCTTTCTTGAAATGCAGTTTTGACACAATATTGTGCATCAGTAAAATGAATTATGAGCCATAATGTGAAAATTTTATCATAATATGCTCTCCATGGTTATAGATAAATTTGGAAATCGAGGTTATATTACTAGATAGTTTATAGGACTACTTATCGTAGTTCCATACACTAAGATTGGAGAATCATTAATCCTCCAAATGTTTTCACTAACATCTCCCATATGCTTCAGCCAATGTGATCAATGTTAGGGAACTGTGCAGGTTGTAGCCTTGAACACCTGGAAGGTAGAGGTTCCCAATCCCTGATCTACAAGGTGGTCTAAAATTTGCATGCAATAATATACCAGGGCAGTCTTGGAAAAGTGCAATTGACAACTGATTTTAAAATGTGAATTATTTATGAAAATATGATTCATAAAAAAATCAGCATTATGAGCTTCTGCCACTGCTGCCAATTATGTAGCAGGCTGATTTTTGAACTGGAGAATTCAGAACAGAACCTTCTCTATCTTGTCCTGTATCTGGAGCTCTCCGGGCAGGGTACAAACAATAAAAGACAACAACTTTGAAACAAGAATCAAACAATTTAAACAATGTTATACAATTAAACAGAACAGAATAAAATGACAGAAGGCAAAATTCACAATCCAACAGGCCAAAACCAGTTCACTGCAATCAAATACCTTACACGAACAGCCAGGTTTTACTATAGTTCTTACATGTGAGTGCACATAATGGCTGAAATCCAGCAGTAAGATGCAACTAGAATAGGACCACTGAATCAGTGGAACTTATTGAAGAGTCAACTCACCATATTGCCACTGTTTTAATGGGTCTACCTTAGTTGCAAATTACTACTGAATTTCAGCCAGAAGTCCAGAAAATTACATTTTTCATACTGTAGATCTTGGTGTCCACAGGGCTGCTGCTGCTTAATCAAGCTTTAGCAAGAGTAATCCTTCTTTTAACTAGCAGGCAAATTTCAGAGGAAAGTTGCTGATACCCAGGCCTTATCATGGACTACATTGGCGAGGCAGCCGTTGAATGGATCCCTTTTGGGTGGCCTTGTGCCCCATGCTCATTTACTTGTGGGGTGCAACAAGAACAGTCCAAAGAGCCAACTTAGCACATTTTAGGAGTGTCCATTCCCAATCAAGCACTTCTCAGAACATAAACACAACAAATAAGCCACAATAATGTTTGTCTCAATTTGTATGGCTACAGGTTCAAAGAACGCTTCAGTCTCTTCAAAAAGTGTCTAGTAAATCTGAGCTACAGAAAACATATAAAAACCTTCAGAAAGAACTGAAAAAGTTGGACGATTTGGCATACAAGCGACAACAGGTAAGACCACTGACATAAATTTCAGTTGTCCAGCTTGATTGTTTTTACTCTTTTCATTTGCATTGTCTTTGCAGAAGGAATGAATAAAGTAAGGTGATTCACGTAAAGCCCAGTTCAGCAAGAAGTACCAAGTGCAATTTCTAGTTTTGTTTGTTTTTTAAGCCATCTGTATACTGAATAGTTCTCATAATGTCTCAGTTAACTGTAAGCTGAGATTGGTTTGAATAGCTTCTTACCTTAGCATTACTGTATTTCGGTGGGAAATATTTGAATACATCAGGTATTTTGTTTTCTGTTTATCTTCCTCCCTTCAACTCCGATGTTTTATGGGGTCTTCTTTTTTTTAGCTCTGGAAGATTACATATCAATTTATTAGGCTTAGGACGTGTTTGCACAGAACAGTGTACTATGCATTACCCTTGACTGTTAAGAAAGATATGAAATTACATCAGATATTATATTATTATACAGAACTTTTAAAATGGTTTTAAAAATATGCTTTTGTTCCTGCTACAAAGGCCTATTTGGCTACCTTATGAAGGTGACTCTGGGCTCTCAAAGGCTGTGTCAACAGAGCACAAACTCTGGTTACTTCTACCAATCTGGTAGTGAAAATCTGGGTGTGGCTGCAATGTATGCTATCTGAGTTTCAGCTTACCAAATTTAGTTGAGCTGTTTCTGACAGATCAGGAAAGAGATCTTGATATGCGGGTGGACAACTCGATGAAAGTGTCAACCCAGAGTGCGGCGACAGTGAAGAAGGCGACAACTCAATGAAAGTGTCAACCCAGAGTACGGCGACAGTGAAGAAGGACAACTCCATGTTAGGTATCATAAAAAAGGGGATTGAAAATAAAGCCGCCAACATTATAATGTCATTGTGTATAAAGCAGCCAACATTATAATGTCATTGTGCGAAACACTGGTAAGGCCACACCCGGAGTATTGCGTACACTTCTGGTCACCACACTCCAAAAAAGACATAATGGAACTGAAAAAGGTACAGAAAAGAGAAACTAAAATGATGACTGGGCTGGGGCACCTCCCTTATGAGGAAAGGCTACAGCCTTAGGGGCTCTTTTGTCTTTAGAGAAAAGGCACCCGAGGGGGGACATGATTGAGACATATAAAATTATGCAGGGGATGGATAAAGTGGATAGAGAGAAGCTCTTTTCCCTCTCACACAATCCCAAAACTAGGGTACATCCACTCCAACTGAGTGTTGGGAGAGTGAGAACAGATAAAAGAAAAGGTTTTTTTTACCTGGAGTGTTGTTAGACTGTGGAACTCTTTGCCACAGGATGTGGTGATGGCATCTGGCCTAGATGCCTTTAAAAGAGGATTGGATAGCTTTCTGGAGAAAAAGTCCCCTGCAGGTTACAAGCCATGACAGGGATGTATAATCTCCAGGCTTCAAAGGAAGGTACCTCAAAATGGCAGATGCAGAGGAGGGGTATCAGGAAACAGGTACCTAGTTGTCTTGTGTGCTCCCGGAGGCATCTGGTGGGGCCACTGTGAGATACAGAAAGCTGGACTAGGCTGTTGGCCTGATCCAGCAGGGCTCTTCTTATGTTCTATGTGTGAAATACTTTTGATCTACATCAATGAAAGGACCTTTGAATTATTCTAAATGTACTATTGTAGTTTTTATTTTGGAAAGGCTGACCCCAAATTTTACATGTATTATGTTGTAACTTGTCAAAATGTTGCTCATGTTGTAATATATTTTATAGAACTAGACATAGTAAGGTTTTGATTATTTGTATGTTATGCTAGATTAATCTATTAGAGGTTATTATTAGCTCAGTAATAAAAGATTTTCTTCTCCTTAACACTATTTGCAGCTGAACAATTTTGATAAGAGATATTTTGTGCCCTTTCGGCAAATTCAGTTACAAATGTAACACATATAACATTTCATCCTCCACAGCAGCCTCTTCAAGTATGTGAATGAATAAACTGTTTTCATGAATGAAATTGTTAAATAGCTTCTAAAACATGTTGGGATATAGTATATTTATTTATTTTCACACAGTACCAAGCATTAAGGCTTCAATCTAGCTAAAACAAATAATATGTACTATTTAAACTAATATAATTCAGTTAGATTAAGTCCGTTAACCTTCAACAGATTGCTCCATGGTCCATATACAGTAGATCACTCTTAAGACACAGTGTAGAGTAAAGCTTTAGGTATTGCTATTTTTAGGGATCAAAATCTGTATGTTAAAAACTTACTGTGTATTTTCATAAAATTTCTGTCCATTTTCATTTCATTTTTATACCCTGCCATCAGGCTTTTTAAGAAGCATGGGAATATTTTGACTCAGCTTGTTTCAATAATTGTGTTCAAGAATAATTGCAGCTAGATTCTAATCATATTTCTTCAAAAACAAGGCCCAATTTGTTGAATGGAAATTACTTTTAGTTTTGCATAGAGCCTAGAGTTTGGAAGAAACAAATTACAATTTACAATATAACCCATAAGGAATTTGTTTTTGGGGATAATGAGGGTATAGTGAGGTTACTTTTGCAAAAATATATAAATAGCAGTTATCATCTCTTTTTTAAAATAGTACATGTTCACCTTAATTGGGTCATGATGATAGTATCATTGCCATTTTCTATTTGGTTTTACCTTATTTAAAAGAAGGAATTTTCTATTTGGTTTTACCTTATTTAAAAGGAGAAAGCCAAAGAGGGTAGAGTCAAGGACATTCCATTTGGTGGCAGAGATGAAGGGGAGAAGAAATATAAAGATGCTGTAAAAACATGATTCTGTATTTCAAGTTCTGTTGAAAGGTTGATACCATGCTTCAAAGGATGACTGAGGATTACCATCTTATGAGAGGGAAAATAAGCAAAAATAGCACTTGTGAGGACATTATGCACTAATGCCTGCATTCTATTCAATTTCAGGAAAAGTACTACAGACCTAGCAAAAGTGGCCTTTTACAGGAGTTGAATGTAGAGATTCCAATTATTTCTTTTTAAAGGGTGATTATATCCCTTTGGTATATTTTATAGTGTTCAGAGTCACTCAGATCAAGAAAGAAAGTCTGAGGTTGGGCAATACATGGATCACTAAAAAGTCACAAACAAGATTAACTTCCATGCCTTTCAGAACTTTTTGTCAAGCAAAAATATTATAAAATGGTGTCTAGGCAAACATTGGCCCAGATATAATGTCCTTAGCTTATGAAACAAGATTGCCAATAAAGCAAAACGGAGTTTAGATTCCATCCTTAGCTTATGAAACAAGATTGCCAATAAGTTTAGATTCCAGGTGAGGCAGAGGTGATAGTTAGAACTACTTGATAGCACACAAGGTGATAGTTAGAACTACTTGATAGCACATGTGTTTACATATCTGGCTATGGAGCTAGAGGTTGGGAGTTCAGTTCCCTGCTGTGGCTCCTTGACTGGGGCTGGACTCAATGATCCATAGTGTCCCTTCCAACTCTGCAGTTCGAAGATAATGATGATGGCAGTTTCTCTTCCTTTGCAGATGAAATCTGGCTCCCCCCTCCCCCGCAGGTTCTTGAGACTAATAGAAGAGTACCTGTATTTGTAATGGTCTCATATAAATATAGAATTAATTTCAGGCCTTCTATACTTCCTTAAGATGTAACCTTCATTGAAAGCTTTGATGACTGAATGGGAGATGTTTCAACATAGCTGTGTTAACAGTGCAATATAAGATGCTTTTGGTAAGAAGGTAACATCATAGTATGGGAACAGCTACTTCAAAATCAAAATGGTAGGAGATTTAGAGCAGAATCCTATACATTTTTACTTGTAAATAAGTCTCATTGTACTTAGCTGCACTTATTTTTGTGAAAAGATATAATAGGATTACAGCCTTCCTAAGGATACTGTCTCATGCCTAGTAAAGTGTGAAACTCTAAGAATATTTGCACACCAGATTCTGGGAAAAGATCAATTGAAAACATTATGTCTAGAACATATAAGAGTGTAGTTGACATTAAGGTAATGACATTTCTCAGTGGAAGAAGGAACTAAATGTCAAATTAGTTGACAATTGGTGCAATTTCTTTTGGAGCAAAGAGCTATTGTCTTTCACTGGACATTGATTGCTAACTGTTTTTCCATGATTGAAGAAGAAATGGGACCTCATATTCTTCAAGTGACATAGAAGAATCTATTGTATATGTGTGCATATACTGGAAAACATTAACCATCTTCTGAAATTGTCCTTCCCAAACTAGAGCCGACCAGGTATGTTGGAATCAGTGGAGGCTGTTTGATTAGGGCAAATCAGACAGTGACCCACCTCAGGCTCCTCTCAGCCGTTCCTCTCCTGCTTGTCTCCTTGCAAAAGGAAGAGGGTCAAAGCCCCATTTGCGTTCCTCTCCTGCTGTCTGTACGTGTGAATGCTCACTTGCTTCCTGCTTGTGTGCTTGTATGAATACCTGGTTTTGGCCCTACTCTGCCTGTTGTGCTTGCCTCTGCTCAACTGTGCTGTACTTGCAGACTCACGAATGACAATGGACAGCAGCCACCACTGATTCAAACAGAACTCTCAATTTCCTCAGCTAGCATGAGGAAGATTACTTGGGAAGAGAACAATTGAATGCTCACTTGCTTCCTGCTTGTGTGCTTGTATGAATACCTGGTTTTGGCCCTACTCTGCCTGTTGTGCTTGCCTCTGCTCAACTGTGCTGTACTTGCAGACTCACGAATGACAATGGACAGCAGCCACCACTGATTCAAACAGAACTCTCAATTTCCTCAGCTAGCATGAGGAAGATTACTTGGGAAGAGAACAATCTTATATAGCAATTTCCTCAGCTAGCATGAGGAAGATTATTTGGGAAGAGAACAGTCTTATATAGGAATGGCATCTGTATTTGTAGACATAGTAGGAGGCCCGAGGTTGGGGACCACTGTTATATAGGAATGGTATCTGTATTTGTAGACATAGTTCAGGTCTAGAAAGAACACCTAGTATTATCTTGTATATTTCAGATGTTGTATAA